ATTTCACTTGCAAGCTGAATGATAAGCTGCCCCCCTCCTATGAAACAAATATTGTATATAAATGTTTAAGCAAATGCTAGAATTGTACAGTGCACCCATAAGGCATATCATGTACAATCATGGTTACCACATTATAGAAAATATATATCTACCCTGAAATTAAAGGTGCTATATAAAAATAAATTGAATTGAATTAGTCCAGAGAGGAATGACCAGATACTACACAAGGCCAAAGGGAAAGTCCTACACCAACAGAATGAAGGAATTAAACAGAGAAATCAGGAGGTAAAAGACGTTGAGGCATTGTCTTCAACAAAGTGTCTGGGTAGTTTGTTCCTCACTCCCACCACCTTCATGTAAGAACCTGCCTCCCATTCTCCACTGTAACGCACTTCCGCTGGGTTTCCACTCGTGTGGCCTGGCTCGTGTTGCGCTGGAGATTCCACCCAGCTGATCGAACGGCATGACCCAGTAAGTGTACTCATGGAGAATGGGAGGCAGTCTCTTACAGGAAGGAAGACTGAGAGCCTGGCCGCAGCAAAAGAACATGAATCAGTCTCCCGCCGCCGCTGCCAAGCTCAGTAACTGTGTTCAGAATAACTGGGCGGTGTTGGTCTAAAGCCTCGACTTTCCCTCGCTTACAGTTGGGTGCTCCTGTGCCATTGGGCTGGTACGCCATGATCCAGGAGGCAGCCTGGAAGTATGGCAGCACTGTGGGCCACACGGGGCTCTGCTCCAGCTCTGTGCCCATTTCCGCCACCACCTGTAGACTCCTGGAGAGGGAGACAACCCAAACAACAGCGCTCAGCTTCTTTATCCCATCGGAAATTTATCTACAGAGTGACTGTTCTTGGACAAATTTGACCTAGTTTTGCAATCCAATCATTTTTCTAAACACTGTGTTTCCAAAGGTTTATATACTGTATGCTATACATGGAGATAGTGTTTCAGAGACTCGAGTGTGCTTTTTCTTTTTTTGCTCCCTTTCCTCAACTTAGCAATATTGCACATTTCCAGTCCCATTGGGTTTAGTGTACATGTCTGTTATGAGAAAGACCAGTTGTGGGTTCTGCGAGACTCACCTGTTCGTGATGATGCCTGCCCAGTCCACAGAGCTGTTGGAGAAGGTCAAGTTCCAGCCTGCCCAGTAGTCTGCGCCCAAGGTCAGGGACACTCTCCCAACGACCTCAGCGTAGTGCAGATAGGAACGTCTCAGGGACTGCCACTCGGAAAGCAGCTGGGAAGCGGTCACCTCGAATGATTGACTTCCATTGATCACAGACAGGAGCAGATAGACCTTCAGGACAAGAGAGACAGCTCTGAACTAGAACCTTATACAAGCACAATCAGGAAGATTATTTTCTCTTACATTCAATTCAATTTTTAAATTTACTAGCATTAATATTAATTATTAATAATTGTATTGATTGATATGACTACATGTAGCATCAAAGATTAATGCACAATTTTCTATGACATGCTATGTTAATGCTTCTAAACTTTGTTTTACCCAAAGCATGGCTAACTTGTAAACAAATGGACTTGTATAAGAAAGCTTATTCCTCATGGCATCAGGCCTGCAGCTGGTGAAGCTAATTGGTGTGTGGATAGGCTCTTTGCCTGATGCAAGGCATCAATGCACATTATGTGGTTGAGATCATCAACCTTGGTCTTCATCTGTGGAGTGCATTCCTTCCTACCTAATTTGGCTGATACTTTTATCCAAAGCACCTTAACTGCAGCCCTTTACACAGCTGGGTATTCCACTGGACCAACAGGGGTGAAGTTATCCTGCTCAAGAGTACAACAGCAGGGTCTTACCTGAACCCATAACCTTTGAGGTCTAAGTTCAGATCCCTGACCACTGCTCCACACTGCATCCTCTAACTGTGGCTCTCCTACTCCAGATTGTGTTAAGGATTGCCCGGAAGTGGTTTTAGAAGGATGCATTTGAAGGAAATGCAGGATGGCCAAGAGAGTTTCAGAGCTTTGAAACTACTTGTATAGAAGAAATCTGAAAAAAATACTCATCCTCAGACCCGGTCTGACTGCCATATACTGCAGCTCAATTGCTATGTAAAATATAGAAGGAATACAGTACTGCCAACGCTAAACGCACAAGTCAGCTACAAGTGCAAGGTTCTTGCCATGTGAACAACTCAATCATCGGAAGTGCACTGGAAGTACATTTCAATGGTAGATTTGGTAATGCAAAGACCCCATCTTACCCTGTCAATGAGAGGCTCCACTTGTAGCTGGAGAGAGCTGAGCAGCTGAGACCCATTCAGAGAGCAAAGCGAGGCGGCCCAGTCTTGCTGCCCCAAGGGGTGCTGGGTAAAGTACCACGACCAGGAGGTCACAAAGTCGTGGCAGGCCCACTGCTCCCCTGACAGTATAACCTATTGGAACACAGATGCCTTGAAACAACAGTTCAAGAGAAGACTCTGCTACAGAATTCTTCCCAGAAGTCAGTGAAAGGGAGATAAATACATGATGCTTAACAAGTCTCTTATAAAATCAACAATATATTGAAACGCAACAAAAACAATGCATAGTACAAAAGTCAAGTTTTCAACCTCAGTTTATATCTCTAGGCTCTTACTCTGGATCAAACTGTGGCTATCACCTTCAAAAACTTGAAACTTGACCATAACTTGGCCTTAAGGAGTCCCCTGAGACATTTCAAAGTGTAGCAAATGTTTGAACATATCTGTTTGAAGAGAAAAGTGAGGCAGATGGGGTTAAAAAATGAATTAATAATCAAACTCACCTTCAAAATGCTTTCGGTGGTTGAGTTTAGAATGGTCCCAACCCAGACATCAGAAAATGACTGATTACTCATCAAAGAGTGAATCATTTTTTGAAGTTCAATGAGCACTGCCTCCATGCGACCTAATATGTCTGTTAATCGAGAGGGATTAGAAATGATACTCAGTTCAGAATAGCAGAAGAGGCATTTCAGTTGCGGCATTTTTTAAATATTCTGAAAACATTGTATAGTTATCTTATGCCAGTATTTAAAAATATTATACATATAGCCACCCTCAAACCACACTCAAATAAACATATTTACATGTATTAAAATCAGATACACTGGCAAGAAATATACTTCCTATGTGACATCTAGGCATTTTAATTAGGGCTCATGAAACATGATAGTATAATTTAGGTTAATTCTCTAGGTTTTCAGCTTCACAGATAGAGCTATTAAATTCTTTTTCTAGGGAGATCTAACATTTCTCTTTCTTTTTTTAGGATTTAGGCACAAAAGTTTACTTTTGGAAGACATATCCAGTTTGTGAAAGATTGAAATGCCAACAAGCAGCTGTGGTCTGTTGTAACTAACATGGCCGTTCATGTGTTATTTAGTTCCAAGTTATTGAACTTGTGCTGGACATATCATGTACTGCCATCTCCGTGGCTTTAACCCTGAACACAAGTCAGCTGCTGTGTGACCCTCCCCACACGGACAGCTGTGAGCTCACACACCTGCCTGGGTGTCCAGTAGCTGAGTGGACAGCTGCAGAGTAGCCAGGCTGCCCATGAGGGCACGGTGCACTGAAGGCCAGCCAGGTAGCTCTCTCGCAGTGCCCAGCGCTGCAGAGCCCAGGTCCACGAACCTGCAGGAAGGAAACAGTGTGACCTTTTAGCATCGTTTGCTGTTTCCTCATTTTTGATCTGCTTTT